AGCCCCCTCCCCTGCACCCTAATCCCCTTCCCTTGCTCCCCGTCCCTCCACAGCTTCCCAGCTCCATCCCCATTCCCCAGCCTACACTACAAAAAAACACGCCGTTTGTCACGGATTTTTGTCACGGATTCCGGCCGTGACAAAGTTGTCACGGGCTTTGTCACGGAATTTTGGGATTTGTCACGAAAATTATTTGTCACGGATTTATCCGTGACAAAATCCGTGACAAAATTTTGTCACGGATTTGGTCCGTGACAAATTTACTCCGGCGACCGGTTTTTTACTCCGGTGAATACTTTTTTGCTTCCGGGCATTTGTCACGGACAGATCCGTGACAAATCCGTGACAAATTTCAAAAAAAACTCAATTATTGATTTTCCAGCGGTAACCTTTAATAATACGGTACGGGAAAAGATTTGTCACGGATAAATCCGTGACAAATCCGTGACAAATTTTTTTATATAACCCAACTCCATCGTCCATTACAATTGCAAGAACAACAATTATCAGTTCAAAAATTCGTAGATTCGAGTGATGTAGTATCGGTTTAAAGATTGAATGATGTATTCCGTCAGTTCATCATTTTCCGAGTTTATGCAGATAAGGTATGTCATTTTAACTAATTTCTTTTAATTGTGTGATAAATTAATTATTAGCTTAATAATTAATTATTATTAGTGAGGTTAGGATTCTTTTTTCTTTATATAATAATAATTAATTATTAGCTTAATAATTAATTAGTGAGGTTAGTTGTTCATTTATTTAAACTATTAACGTAATTTAGTGAGGTCATGTTAATTTTCATATTATTAACAATATATTATTAAACTATTAATGTAATTTAATTAGTTAAATTTAAATATAAATATTAATTAGTTAAATTATTGTTATTATTAATGCATAATAATTTAGGATGTGTAGTGATGATTTAAGTATTAGCTAGCTTATTATAGATTAATTAATTAGTGACTTGTAGTGATTTAATTAATTAGTTAGCTAGCTTAATTATTAGGTTATTAATTATCACCAATTATTATTTATTAGCAATTATTGTTAATGGGATGCATAATTAATATAGCTAACTAGGATTGAAACTTTATTATTATTTAGTTTAGTGTGAATTATTATTGTGAATTATTAATGAGATAATATTTAACAATAATATTAGTTAAATGTAAATTAATTAACTAATTAATTAAGTTAAAACATTGAGGAAATGAGTTTAGAATTTGATGAGTTGATAATATTAGTTAGATTTAAATATTAGTTAATTGATCAATGATGATGCATGATTAGGTTTAATTTGTTTATTAATTAGTTAATTATTGTTAATGCATAATTTAGGATTTGTAGTGATTTAAGTTAGGATTCAAACTTTATTAGTTAAGTGTGAATTATATATTATTGTGAATTAATTATATTTAACAATATTAGTTAAATGGAAATTAACTAATTAATAAGTTAAATTAGTTAATTATTGTTAATGGGATGCATAATATATATAGCTAGGGTTGAAACTTTATTTTTATTTAGTTTAGTGTGAATTATTTTTGTGAATTATTTTTGTGAATTCACAATAATAATTCACAATATTAGTTAAATGGAAATTAACTAATTAATTAAGTTAAAACATTGAGGAAATGGGTTTAGAATTTGATGAGTTGATAATATTAGTTAGATTTAAATATTAGTCAATTGATCAATGATGATGATTAGGTTTAATTTGTTTATTAATTAGTTAATTATTGTTAATGCATAATTTAGGATTTGTAGTGATTTAAGTTAGGATTCAAACTTTATTAGTTAAGTGTGAATTATATATTATTGTGAATTAATGATATTTAACAATATTAGTTAAATGGAAATTAACTAATTAATAAGTTAAATTAGTTAATTATTGTTAATGGGATGCATAATATATATAGCTAGGGTTGAAACTTTATTTTTTTTTTAGTTTAGTGTGAATTATTATTGTGAATTATTATTGTGAATTATTATTGTGAATTATTAATGAGATAATATTTAACAATAATATTAGTTAAATGTAAATTAATTAACTAATTAATTAAGTTAAAACATTGAGGAAATGGGTTTAGAATTTGAGTTGATAATATTAGTTAGATTTAAATATTAGTTAATTAATTGATCAATGATGATGATTAGGTTTAATTTGTTTATTAGTTAATTATTGTTAATGCATAATTTAGGATTTGTAGTGATTTCAGTTAGGATTCAAACTTTATTAGTTAATAATTAAAACGATTAATGCCATTAACATATTACTATTAGTTAAATATTAGTAAATTAACGCTTTTAGTTAATGTCACAAATTAAAGTTGGTTAATTCAAATTATTAATGCCACAAATTAAATAATGTACTGCTTTTAGTTAATTAATAATATTAATGTACTTATATATTATTTTGATTAAAATATATATATACAGGCATAATGTATAGACAAAACAGAAGTTGGATGTACCAAAAACATCGCGATAACTATGGAATACGCAGTGAATTTTTGAATGGTGTTGAAGATTTTATTAAATTTGCACAAGAACAGAAGAATTATATGGATGGAGATAAAATCAGATGTCCATGTACAAAGTGTAAAAATCTTCAATTTAAAGATGTCGACCAAGTTGTGTGGGATTTGTACGAAAAAGGTTTCGTTGCCAATTATTATAATTGGACTTCTCATGGCGAACCTTTCGATCCATCACTTTTACCACAAACAGTAGGTTCATCTCGTAACGTCCCTACCGAGATGAGTGGATGGGGAGACTATGATCAAATGACGTGGGATCAAAGAATGGCATATGATGTATACGGTGCTTCAACGATGCAGTTTAACCCACCACAGCCATTTAACGATCTTCCCGAAGCTTCGACCTCGTATCAACCCGATGCGGATGAAGATCAGACCTTTTATCAGTCTGCTGCGGATGAGTATCCGAATTCTCATGTTCCTCATATTGAAGACTTAGCTGAAAGATTTCAAGATGTTTTAAAAGCTGCTGATCAGCCTCTGTATGCTGATTGTGAGGGATACTCTCAGCTATCCGCCGTTACAGAGTTGATGAACATTAAATCTGAATACAATCTTCCTGAATCTTGCATGTCTAGGTTATTGCAGTCATTTGGAGGAATGTTACCGCGTGACCATAATCTTCCTGATTCATATTACAAAATGAAACAATTAATGTCTCAGTTGGGGCTTCCTTGTATAGAAATTGATGCGTGCCCAGAAGGATGTATGTTGTTCTGGAAGGATGATGTGGCACTTGAGACCTGCAAGTTCTGTGATGGAGAGAGATACAAGCCTGTTCCTCATAGACGAAAAAAACCACGAAAAAGGTCTGCATTGTCTAAATTGTTTTACCTCCCTCTAGCTCCACGCCTGCAGAGGATGTATGCTTCAAATGCTACTGCGAAACACATGACGTGGCATGTTGAGCACGAAACCAAAGAGGGTTTGATGTCTCACCCTTCCGACTGTGAAGCTTGGAGACACTTTGACCGTTGTCATCCTCAGTTTGCAATGGAGCCACGGAATGTGCGACTGGGATTGTGTTCAGACGGATTTGCTGCTTTTGGAAAGTTTGGGAAGAAATTTTCATGTTGACCAGTCATGTTAACTCCTTATAATCTTCCTCCCGACATGTGCATGAAAAGTCATTTCATCTTTTTAACTTTAATTTGTCCAGGTCCCTCGAATCCTAAAAAAAGGATAGACATCTATCTCCAACCCCTGATCGAGGAGATGAAAGAACTTTGGGCCATTGGGACACCAACTTATGATGTTTCGAGAGATCAGATGTTTATCATGAAAGCTGCCATCATTTGGACCATTAGCGACTTCCCTGCTTATGGTATGCTTTCAGGATGGAGCACACACGGTCTTATGGGATGTCCGATATGTATGGATCAATCAGAGGCCAATTGACTCAAATTTAGCGGGAAACCAAGTTACTTTGATTGTCACCGCAAGTTTCTGTCTATGAACCATCGATATCGAAAGGACAAGAAGTCTTTTATTGCCGGAAGAGTGGTACGAGATCCCCCTCCTCCGAGACTTACAGGTGAACAAGTTTTTAACCGGGTTCGACGTTTTCCTACGGCCGTGCAGCAACCCCACGGGGAGCCAAATGGGTATTGTGATACCCATAAGTGGACAAAGAGGAGTATATTTTGGGAGTTGCCGTATTGGAAGGACCTTCTCATTCGTAACAATTTAGATGTCATGCACGTTGAGAAGAACGTCTTTGACAATATATTTAACATGGTTATGGATTTTACCCACAAAACTAAAGATGGTCTTGCATCTAGAAAAGACATGACAATTTGGTGCGACAGACCCGAACTCGCCGTCGATCTAGAATACGTGGGTAAAAAAATTCCAAGAGCAGTCTACCAACTCACAGCCCCACAAAGGGAATCAATATTCGAGTGGCTTGTTTCTCTGAACTTTCCAGATGGCTATTGTTCTAACTTGTCAAGATGCGTGGACCTGGACAAACAAACAATGACGTCGAGCATGAAAACTCATGATGCTCATGTAATCATGCAACGACTTCTGCCGATTGCACTGAAAGAGATGCTTCCTGCAGACGTCTGGGGCTGTATTACCGAAATCAGTCAATTGTTTCAGTCGATATGTTCCGCCGTTTTGGATGTCGAATCCCTGAGGAGACTAGAAGACACTGTTCCTATTCTGATGTGTAATCTGGAAAAGATACTGCCCCCATCATTTTTTGATGTAATGGAACATCTTCTAATACATCTTCCGTATGAGGCTTTGAATGGAGGGCTCGTCTTCTATCGTTGGATGTACAGATTTGAAAGGTTAGTCATAATTTCATTTATAAACGATGATTTGTTTAATAAGAACATTTGTTTGTTTACAAATTTTATTTTGCATGACAGATTTCTGGGAGATTTGAAAAAGAAAGCGACCAACAAGGCACACATTGAGGCTTCAATTTGGCAAGCATATATTCAACAAGAAACCTCAACGTTTTCATCTTTTTATTTTGAGCGTGAAGTAATCAGTAAAAGAAAGAGACCTGCTCGGAACGATGACATTGGCGAGGATTCATATGATAAAGTAGTTTCTATTTTCAACTACCCAGGTAGAGGTAAAGGAGCTGCGACTTACCGTTACATCGTGGGCGGAGAAATGAAAATTGCACATACTTACATCCTCATGAATTGTCCAGAAATCTTACCATTTTATAAGTAAGTTGAATTGGTAGTTACATTTGTAATATAGCTAATATTTTTTTAATAATTAGAGTGTTATAATAATATCTTTATGTTCAATTCACAGTGAATTTAGAGCGTCTTTATCAGCATTTCCTGATGATGCAATTGATGCAATGGTGGACTCTGACTTTGCATTATGGTACCAACAGCAGGTATTATATATATATATATATATATATATATATATATATATATATATATATATAAATACATTATATATACTATTAGCTAGTAATTTTTAATCATTACCTAATGTTATCATGTTTTAATTTGCAGATCAGGTACCGTGGGATTAACGACCCTCTGTTAGTATCATTATCGTGGGGCCCTTCTTCCTATGCAAAGGTTTGGCATTCATATGTGATAAACGGTTATACGTATCACACAGTTGAATATGGAGAAGGTCGACCAACAATGAACAGCGGGTTATGTGTCCCGACCATCGGTTCTGATAACTCGGAAACCAATTTTTTTGGTTTCTTGCATGAGATTCTCGAACTTCAAATGCCTTCTGGTTTGCAAGAATTAACATGCGTGTTGTTTCGCTGCACATGGGTCGACCCTACACGTGGTGTGAGAAAAAATTCAAAGTATAATATAATTGACGTCAACCACTCTCGTGTGTATCAGAAAAATGAGCCATTTATACTCGCTCAACAAGCAGCCCAGGTTTATTATGCAGAGTATCCTTCAACGAGGCGCACACGGAATCCTTGGGTGTGTGCCATTAATATCCGTCCGAGCAAAATTGTAACACAGACTCAACAAAGGGATATTGACTTTGATGCTTTTCAGCAAGATTTTTTCCACCCTCCGCCTATTGCTGATACGGTCAACCATAACATTCAGTTAAGTGACCCAAATGGCGGAGATGTTGAAGTTATGCCTGAAACACACTTTCCGCCCCCTATACCTCAAAATGAGCGCGAAATTGAAGAATTATATATACAACAACTGCACGATGACCAGGAGGAAGAAGAAGAATGGATATCTGGTGATGAAGATACAGAAGAAGAAGTTGCCTATCAAGAAAATACTGATTCTGATAGCGATTAAATGTATAGTTAACAACCAACGTAATTACTTTTAATTGAACTATTTTAATTTGAATTTTTAACTTTCTTTCGTCATTATTATATTATTCCAAGATATAATAGTTAGGTATGTAATTCGCAACTATCATTTCTAAACAAAATAATTATTCCATATTATATTGTAAAATAGCGATTAATTAATTAATAAAATTAGGTTTTTAAAATTATTCAATTGAAAATTAGTGGTTCATTATTATCGATTCGGAAATTTAAAATTAATTAGGTAATTTCGAAAATCGAAAATTATTTAAATTTTAAATAATTCGAAATTTAACATTATTTAAAATTCGGAAATTAGTTTTTTAACATTATTTGTTATTAGTTTTTTAACATTACAAAATTTTAATAATTCGAAATTTAATAAACAAGAACATGAATTTATTTATTAAATTTAAAAACTAAGTAGAAAACACACAATTTTTTATCATTTATTACATTCAACAACTCACAATACAGATAAACAAATAAACACAATATTATTCATTAGCGTCAAAACTTTCATCTAGAGGCCTATCAAGTAGCTCGTTAATTCTTTCTGCAGCTTCCGAGTTTATAGGTATCATATACTCCGAACATTGTTCTGCACGTAAAAGTGCCCTACGCAAGTTTTTCCCTCGTGAAACGTTGTATGAGTCTGATTCATAGTCTATAATATCGCCAAAGCTTTCAAGAGGTCTACTCATCAGCTCACGGATGCTTTGAACTGCTTCTGCATTTCGAGGCTTCATCAACTGTGTAACTTGTTTTAATCGTTGTACACTTCTACTGATCAACTTCCGCACATCTGGTTCTGGATTAGCCATTTTTTCGCACTGAAAAAATGGGGCTCTAAGCACATATTTATACTTAAATTTGTCACGGATAGGTCCGTGACAATTAAAGTAGCTGACGCCTCGTCTGATTAAGGCTGAAAAAGCTTTAATATTCCCTGCACCGGTTTGTCACGGATCCATCCGTGACAAATCCGTGACAAAATTCAAATTTTTGAAATTTGTCACGGATTTGTCACGGATGGATCCGTGACAAACCGGTCAACCTGCCGTTCTGCCGCCTCGTCTGCCGTTCCCTGCCGCCTCGACTGCTGTTCCGCAGTTTACAAGTTCCGATGCCTTTGTCACGGATTAATCCGTGACAAATTCAAATTTAAAAATCCGTAATTAATTTCTCACGGGCTTTGTCATGGACGGGTCCGTGACAACCCCTAATATATAAACGACACTTAGCCATTTTTTTCTCTTACGCTTCCCAATTCCTTCAGCAAACCCTAACATAACCCAGCGCCTCCTCTCTACTCCCTTACGCCTTCCGACACCCGCCGACCGCCACCCTCCCAAACGCCTCCCACTCCGCCGCCCTGCTGCCTCTCTTACACCCGCCGACCGCCACCCTCCCAAACGCCTCCCACTCCTCCGCCCTTCTGCCTCTCTTACACCCGCCGACCGCCGCCACACACATCTCACCGGCCACCGCGGATTATCTCCACCCCTGCCGCCGTTCTTCGAAGCCGGCCTTCTCTTCTTTCCCTTTCATTTCTTGCCTTCTTCTCCGAGGTTATGTTTCTAACTCTTTAATTTCCGAATGTTTTAGAATAAATGTTTTAAAATGCCAAAAATAAAATGCATGTTTTTCTTAATATTCTTTAATTGTTTAATTTAATGTGTATATGTTAATAAGTTATCATGCATTGAATATGTGTATATGTTTAATGTTTACATGTTTCCGAATATTCATATGCATGCTCGAAATTTTATGGCATGTTTTTAATTATTTAATGCATGTTTTTCTTAATATACATGCATGTTTATATGTTTTTCATAATATTCATATGCATGCTCGTAAATTTAATTATTTAATGCATGTTTTTCTTAATATTGTTTTAATGTTTATATGTTTCCGAATATTCATATGCATGCTCGTAATTTTATTGCATGTTTTTAATTATTTAATGCATGTTTTTCTTAATATTCATGCATGTTTAAATGTTCTTCTTCATATTCATATGCATGCTCGTAAATTTAATTATTTAATGCATGTTTTTCTTTATATTGTTTTAATGTTTATATGTTTCCGCATATTCATATGCATGCTCGTGATTTTATTGTTCCTAGCTATATTCATATGCATTCTCTTAATTTAAAAATGCCTGCTTTAGATTTAACGTTTCATAATATGTGTATCATTTCTTTATATGCTTTAAATATGCCTTAGATATTGTTAATTTAAAAATGCCTGCTTTAGAATAGTTAATTATTAAATTTTTAGTCAAGGTTATTTTGAGTTTTTGTTAATTTCGGATATTTATTAAGAATAAAAATTTCAACTCCATTAATTTTCGCCCCCTCATGTTACACTTTCAAAAAAGTTAACATGTCTAACCCAACAAAATAATGAAACTGTTAATTATTTTTTTATAATATTTCGGATATTATATTATTTTTTTAATATTATAAAACACTTTAAAATTTTTTGGATCATTTAACTGATTTTTAAATAATTTAGGATATTATAATATTTTATTTTAAATAAAACGTTGTTTCATAAATAACCTAAAACAGAAATGAAGTAAAAAAATGTATTTTATATATTAAAATAGAAATAAAAAACCAAACAAACTGTTTTTGTTTATATAATACGAAAATGATTTCATATGTTTCATGAAAAATTGATTTTATGGGTTTCATGAATAAACAAAAAATGAAACTGATTTTTAATTTTTTTTTGAAAAAATTGATTTTATAGATTTTAAAAATCAGGTCACTGTTTTTTATAAATTAATACCATACACAATTAAATTCAATAACATAAAAATCATACAAAAAACTCATTCTACCCCTCATATTAAACTCAAGTTTAATATGTTCTATATTTCAAAGATTGATAAATACGTAATACAATTAAATTCAATAACATAAAAATCATACAAAAAACTCATTCTACCCCTCATATTAAACTCAAGTTTAATATGTTCTATATTTCAAAGATTGATAAATACGTAACACAATTAAATTCAATAACATAAAAATCATACAAAAAACTCATTCTACCCCTCATATTAAACTCAAGTTTAATATGTTCTATATTTCAAAGTTTGATGAATAAATAGGAAACTAATAAGTTTAAACCATTATACCACACAAAAACTTCATAAACTGATTTTAGAAAACTGTTTTTTATAAATAATACTGTGGATCGTTGCGCTTACCGCTACACTAAAAGCAATCGCTGATAGTGAAGCACGCTCCTCTCCCTTTATAGCACAAGCGAAGTGCCACGCGGTCCGATTGCACCGGCAGGCTGGCTGTTGCTGGCACCGCATACCCGCGGCCCAACAATCTCCCCCCCAGCACCTGCCAGCCTACAACTGCGCAGCATGCTGTTGCCGGGGGTCGAACCCGTGACCTTGGCTCTGATACCACTTGTTGGTCCCGGTTATACTGGATACAGTCTAGAGGGGGGGGGGGTGAATAGACTGTATTGGTTTTTATCTTTTTAAACTAAGTACCAGATTTATAGAATAGCCTGTTCTGTTGACAGAACAGACTGGCAGCGGATGAGGTTCTGGTAGGGAGTTCTGTTGATTTAGCCTCAGAGAAGCAAAGGCAGTAGGCCTTCTGTTAACTCATAGAACAAGTTCTGCTGAACACAGATACCAAGTCTGAGGAGTTAAACAGTTCTATCTAAGTGCAAATATTAAAGCAGTAAGTAAATGACACCAGGGATTTTTATAGTGGTTCAAGGAACAACTTGTTCCTCTAGTCCACTGTTCCACTAAGCTGTAAAAACTTCCGTTTACAAAGCCTTAGTCCTAGCACTTAAGAAGCTCTCCACGTCTTCTTCAAGTCTAGATGTCTCCTGGGATGCACTGCCTGGCTTCCTTTAAGACTGGTCCTTTCACTGAGTTTCCTTGAAGTATCACCACTTCACTACTCCAGTTACTTGGACGTCCTTCTTGTAGCAAGAAGAGTTTCTGTGGAAACTGGGGTTCCTCCAACTAGCTTCGTTACAAAAGATTTGTATGTGATGAGCTTGAAGAGTTGAAGAACACTTGGAACTTTTCTTGAGTTGGAAAAAGTATTTTTCCAACTTCTGCCTTCTCTTGTAGAAGATAATGAGTTTGAATCTCAAGGAGGCTTTTTTCTTTTCAGAGTTTGAATATCTTGTATGAAGAGTTGTAGCAATGTGTAGCAAAAGTTGCAAAGTTATCCGGTTGTTCTTCGTAGTGTATCTTTTATACTGGGGTTGTCTTCCCGTTGGAGGAGTAGGAGGACAACTACATTTAATGCGCGAGCAGTTGACTTGACCAGTAGGACCCGGTAAAGTTGGCGGGTTACTATTTTGGGATAAAGTAATCCTGACATTGCGGCCAATCATCTGCAATTACTCCACGGAGCATGGGGAGCATTAAATGAGCATTTAATGCGAGCACTGTAGCTTTTCCGTTTCATACTCCTAGCCGTTGAAGGAATCTTT